CTGAAGCCGCAGCAAAAAAACATAAATTGTGAAGATTTCATGGACATTTATTAATTAATACTTTTATAATTTCTTAGTAATTAATACTTTTATAATTTCTTACGCCAGTCTTTACTGCAATCTCTGAACATAAATTGTGAAGATTTCATGGACATTTATCAATTCCCCAATCAATACTCCTGTGATTTCCTATGCCTGTCTTTAATCTCTTAATCCTGTCGTCTTCATAAGCTGAGGATGAAGGTCACTTTAGGAGCCTGTCATGATTGTGTTAACTGCACAAGTTGTTTGTAGAGCATGTGTATTTGAACAATATGAAACCTGGGCACCTTAAGAACAGGATAACAGCGATTTTCAGGGAACAAGGGAGATAATTTTTAAAGTGTGACTGCCTGTGGGCGGGGCAGAATAGAGCCATATTTCTCTTATTAACAAAAACAGGTAAGATAAATATCCCTGAATTCTTTCCCCAGTAAGGAATATTAATAATTAACAGCCCTGGGAAAAGAATGCATTCCCAGAGGAGGCCTCTGAGTGGCCGCTCTGGGGGTGTCTGCCTTATGCAGATGTAAATAGGGATGAAACACACCCTAGTCTCCTGCAGCAACCCCAGGCTTGCTAGGATTAGGAAATTCCAGCCTGGCAAATTCCAGTCAGACTGGTTCTCTGCTCTTGAACCTTGTTTATCAATGACAATGCGTGCACAGCCGGACATGGAAGTTCATTAGTGATTCTAGTTTCGCCCTGACCTTGTGATCTCACCAAGACCTCCTGCCTTGTGATCTTTTGCTGCCCTTGAAGCATGTGATCTCTGTGACCCACACCCTATTCGTACACTCCCTCCCTTTTGAAAATTGCTAATAAAAACTTGCTGGTTTTACAGCTCAGGGGGCATCATGGAACCTGCCAACATGTGATGTCTCCTTCGGACACCCAGCTTTAAAATTTCTCTCTTTTGTACTCTTCTCATACCAGCCAACACTTGGGAAAATAGAAAAGAACCCATGTGAAATATCAGGGGTCGAATTTCCCCCAATACAGGAACATCTTCAACCTGTGCCTGAGCATGATTATTTTGAGCTTTTTTCGAATGATACTAGCTCATATCCTATGCCAGAGCACACATCAACTTTAAAAACCAAGAGGACATTATTTTGTTCAGGGATTGCTTTGATGGTTATGTATTCCTTGACAATAAAGATCAGGAATATCCTGCTATCGTAGAATTTGCACCTTTTCAAAAACCTACAAAAAAGAAGACTAAGAAAAGAGATACCAAAGTTGGGACTATTGATGATGATCCAGAATATAGAAAGTTTTTGAAAGTTGTGCCACAGATAATGAGAAAATAACATCTACTCCAGAGACACTGCTAGAGGAAATAGAAGCAAAACATAGAGAATTAATAGCTAAAAAGACAACCCCACTTCTGAGCTTCCTGAAAAACAAGCAGAGAATGAGAGAAGAAAAGAGAAAAGAAGAAGGCAAGAAATAGAAAAAGACAACGAGAAGAGAGGAGGAAATGGAAAGAAGAGAAATGAAAAAGAAAAGATATAGAAAAGCTAAAGAAGATAGACAGAATTTAAGAAAGGGACAAGTTAAAAGATGAACCAAAGATTAAGCTACTCAAGAAGCCAGAAAAAGGAGGTGGAAAAGAATTGGACAAAAGAGACAAAGCCAAGAAACTGGACAAAGAGAATCTGAATGATGAAAGAACCAGAGGGCAAAGTTGGACATTGCCCAAGCGTTCTGATAGCAAATTTAAAGATGAAATGCCAGGGCTGGGCAAGGTGGCTCCTGCCTGTAATCCCAGCACTTTGGGAGGCCAGTGTGGGCGGATCACTTAAGGTCAGAAGTTCGAGACCAGCCTGGCCAACATGGTAAAACCCTGTCTCTACTAAAAATACAAAAATTAGCCAGGTATGGTGGCGGGCACCTGTAATCCCAGCTACTTGGGAGGCTGAGGCAAGAAAATTACTTGAACCCAGGAGGCAGAGGTTGCAGAGTGAGCCAAGATTGCACCACTGCACCACAGAGCAAGACTCTGTCACAAATAAATAAATAAATAGATAGATAAGAAAAGTCAAAGAGACCTGAAGATGAGAGCAGCAGAGACTACAGGGAGGGGGGACGGGATTATGAATGAGATCAGGGCGCATACTTTGAGAGAGAGAGGCTGAAGCGGTAAGAGGAAGAGTGCCGTAGGCAGAAGGAACGCTATGAGAAAGAGAAGACTTTTAAGAGAAAAGAAGAAATGAAAAAAGAGAAAGAAGTACTTCGGGATAAAGGAAAGAAGGCTGAAAGTGCAGAATCAATAGGCAGTTCAGAAAAAAACTGAAAAGAAAGAAGTGGTCAAGAGAGATTGCATAAGAAACAAGGATCCAGCGATGTAGCTTTACCAACCAGGAGCTCGAAGCTGAAATCAACTCTCTGCCCTGATGACAGCACCGAGTCTGGAAATTCAGCAATAGAAAAAAAGCAGGAAGGTGATATTAGCCATAGAAAAGAAGGAGGAGAGGAGTGATAAGTCCAGATGGCCTTAGGTGTCCTGACTGTCTAGGCAGCCAAAGAGCGCATGTTAAGCAATCGGGAAGTTCCTTCAGGGCAAAGGAATAGAGAGAAAAGGGATCGCTGTATTGGTGGGGTACACTGCAGAGGAGTAACTTTTATATCAAAGCAGGAACCTGACTGGAGGTTCAGAATTGAAAGTATAATTTCATTGTTTTTGCAGTTTCTACAAATTAAAGTGTCAGAAAAAGGTGATGGCGAGGACATGCATTGCAATTTGCAGAGGAAAATGTCAAGTGAGGACTCCATTACGTATCACATGAGAGGAAAATAAGAGCTGGTTCTAAAATTAAAAGCCGTTGTTCATCCTGAATTGAATTTTCTTAATTTGGGTGGAACAGAGTCGTTCTGAAGTCTTGTTCTAATCTAGTTCTATTGCATTGTTGATGATAACTGTTGACTTTATGTAGTGTAGAAGCAACAAGCATGTCCTTTTAGTACAAGTACAGTGAAGGGTAGAACAAACTTTCATTGATGCAAAAATTTAAATAGTCATGTTACTTCTGTATCCAGTGTCCTAAAGTTTTAAGATTAGTTCTAGTTTTGTGTTTGCTTACATGAGCTTAGCATAAAGAATATTTTAAACATCTCATTTTGTCTTCAGCATTTTTTCTATTAAGAGGTAAAATGCAGGCCTTGTCAGCATTTTTTCTATTAAGAGGTAAAATGTAGGCCTTGTCTGACTCTTGACAATCCAGTGCATGTTTGATCTTAGATCTCATGATCTGAGTGCATCTCTTCTCCAGGAAGGAAAGTGCACCAATGTCTGTTCCTGTTAAATAGCAACTTTTAGGGCTGGGCACGGTGGCTCACGCCTGTAATCCCAGCACTTTGTGAGGCCTAGGGGGGAGGATCACCTGAAGTCGGAGTTCGAGACCAGCCTGACCAATATGAAGAAAACCTGTCTCTATTTTTAGTAGCTGGGTAAAATTAAAATTAGCTGGGTATGGTGGCACATGCCTGTAATCCTAGCTACTCAGGAGGCTGAGGCAGGAGAATCACTTGAACCTGGGAGGCAGAGGTTGCGGTGAGCCGAGATGGTGCCATTGCCCTCCAGCCTGGGCAACAAGAGCAAAACTCCATCTAAAATAAATAAATAAATAAATAAATAGCAACTTTTAGTTTTAGCTTGTTTTGTTTTGATGTCAATAAATAGTAACAGCATTCAAAAATAAATAAATAAATAAAAGGGCAGGTGCGGTGACTCACACCTATAATCCTAGCACTTTGGGAGGCCAAAGCAGGCAGATCACCTGAGGTCAGAAGTTCAACACCAGCCTGGCCAACATGGCAAAACCCCGTCTCTACAAAAAAATACACAAATTAGCCAGGCATGGTGGCGCATGCCTATGATCACAGCTACTCAGAAGGCTGAGGCAGGAGAATCGCTTGAACCCAGGAGGCAGAGGTTTCAGTGAGCCGAGATGGCACCACTGCACTCCAGACTGGGCGACAGAGCGACACTCCGTCTCAAAAAAAAAAGGTTTGGGCATCATCTAGGTAGTGTGAATTTTGTCCGCAAGCCCATGTGAAGGTTTAATTATATTTACAAGTACTTTCCCCATCTCCATTCAGTGTTGAGACTCAAGATAGGCCATTTTCTCTATGATTCTCTCAATGGGGCATGTATCCTTATTTCTAATTCACCTTCACACTGATGTCATAGCCCTTTGAAGTCAAAGATTTACACAGAGGGGACTCCACTAAAGATTCCCCAATTTAGCTTTCTTTTCTACTAGTTGCATCACTTAATATTATAAAAACCAAGTAGAGCATGGGTTAAGTTGCTATAATTTAAAAAAAAATCAAAATACAATGAGAAGAGAAGTCTCACTCTGTCGCCCAGTCTGGAGTGCAGTGGAGTGATCTCGGCTCACTGCAGCCTCCCCAGGTTCAAGAGATTCTCCTGCGTCAGCCTCCCGAGTAGCTGGGATTAGGCGTGCACCACCATGCCTGGCTAATTTTTGTATTTTTAGTAGAGACGGGGTTTCACCATGTTGGCCAGGCTGGTCTCGAACTCCTGACCTCAAGTGATCCACCCACCTTGGCCTCCCAAACTGCTGGGATTACAGGCATGAGCCACCGTGCCCCACCAAGAATGAGTTTTCAAAACCCGAGTTCAGAAGAGGGATTCTGAGAGGTTGGTTCTTAGATCTCTGAGGAAGGGGAAGGATGGCCCTAGGGCAGGTCCACCGCATGTTAGAACCCAGCAGGGGGCTGTGACAGACAGGCTGGTGCTGGGAACTTCATCTCCCTCTTCCCGGACCTTCTGGAGCCGGTGTTTGTGGCACCTCCTGCTGGTCACTGGGTTCAGGCAGTTTGGAGCTGGCTGGAAGGATGGGAGGTATTAAAGTCTTGGGCCCTGGACCTTGTTGGCTGATCTCTCCCTGCTGACCTAAATGACAAGGAGAGGCGTGTCCAGTCAGAGTGTGAGGGCTGTACCCGTGGGCAGCTGAGGGAGCGTGAGCCACAGGCCAGGCACTCCCCCTCTCCCATTAGCTCAGCCGTGGCATCGGACTTGCAGCTTCACTTTGGGCTGCCTTAGCCATGAAGCTCCTTTTGCTGACTTTGACTGTGCTGCTGCTCTTATCCCAGCTGACTCCAGGTAACCTGGACCTCCTCGAGGAAGGGGCAGGGCTTGCAGACTAAGGCCTGGTCAGGGAATCCCAAGGGTTAGAAGGATGGGCTGCAGCTTGCCATCTGGCACCACGTATAGGAGGCAGGAGGCGCCTCACCAGCAGCAGGTGCCAGGTGATAGATGCCAACTACGACATCCAGAACTGCGCTCTCAGCCGCTCCATCCCTCCTCTTCCTGCCCAGCTCCAGGGAGCATGTGGGGGTGGCCTAGTGTGTGAGGAGGAGTGGGAGGGGTGAGCAAGAGAAGCGGGAAAGAGGAGAGGCAGGTCTGGCCCTTTTGCAAAATATTGCCCAGAATGAATGAAGCTTTGTGAAGATCACAGCCACCTTAATGGCAGAGAAAACTCATTTGTACTGTAGCTGTCTCTGTGCCAGACTGCACTGGAAGCTAGGACCATGGAGAAAAATGACATGGCGCCAGGGGAGCTAACTGGGGGAGACAGTTAAATAGCATTTACAACCCAGGGTGACATGGCTGTGACAGTGGGAAACCAGGGGGCTGGGCACACATGGTCCAGCCCAGGCTGAGGGAAAGGAGAGTCCTCCTGGAGGGATATCCTGAGTCCTAAAAAGTGAGTCAAAAATAGAAAAGGAAGAAGAGGAGAAAGCAGAAGGGGGTCCCAGGCAGAGAGGTCAGCCTACGCAAAGGTCTGGATGCGGGAGAGAGCATGGGAGCCTCAGGGACCTACATAACATGGAGGGGTGGGTTAGGAGAGAGGCGGGGGTAAAGCTGAGGAAGCATTCAAGCTCCAGGTCTCAGTGGGCCTCGAATGCCAGGTGAGGCACCCATGGGAAGGTTTAAACAGAGAAGGACCCTGGTCAGACCTACCACCCACCAATTCCAGCATGAGCCACCTACCCCTTCCTGCTCATCTGGCAGAAGTTTCCACCCACCCTGAGGCTGTCGGCTAACCTCTCTAGAGTCAGAAACATGTGACTTTCCTAAACAAGCTGACCTCAGTCCTTGTGTCTTCCTGAGGCCCTAAAACACCACTCACCTGGAGTAGAGAGGCAAGCCCAGATCCCGGGTTAAAACCTGCCCCATCATTTTCTGACTCTGTGACCCCCAACAAGAAGCTCAGCTGGTCAAAGTATCAATTTCCGCATTTCTCAAACTGCAATAACATCAAGTGTGTAATAATGTCAGGTTGAGGGAACAACACTGAACACACTGAAATTTTAGTCTGCAAAAGAAATACGTCTTCTTTATTTTCCATAACTCACCAAACTTTCCCAGGAACTTCCATTCTGACTGTGGGTGTTTGTGGTGGGAGGAGCAGGACTACAGAGATAAATGACATGACACCAGGGGAGCAAACTAGGGGAGACAGTTAAATAGCACTTACAACCCAGGGTGACAAGGCACCTAAGGGCGGGGCCTGAACTCAGCAGTTCGTTATTTATCTTTTCTGCTTTAAAATGATTTCTAAGCTAATTCAATCTCTTTTGAATAAGTGTTGAGTCTTTCAGCATGTATCTTTCTTCCATCACCCCTTCTCTTTCCTGGGATAGTATCTGGTTATAGGGAAAACTAACTTGATATGTCATCAAATAATTAATTGCTTCATTCAGTAAATATAGTTGAATGGATTTCTTGTTCCAAGCACTGTGATGGGTGCTAGAGGTAGAGCAGTGAATAAAACAAAACAAGATAAGCAAAATCTCTGTCCTCTTGGAGCTTACCTTCTACTAGAGGACCCAAAGAGTTTGAAAAATAAATGAAACATATGGTATGTCAGATGATGAGTACAGTGAGCAGAATAGGCAGGAAAGGAAATAGCGAACACCAGGGGAAGGGGAAGGTGATTTGCGTTTTGTTTTGTTTTGTTTTGTTTTGTTTTTTTAGAGACAGAGTCTCGCTGTGTCACCCAGGCTGGAGTATAGTGGCACGATCTTAGCTCACTGCAACCTTCACCTCCTGGATTCCAGTAATTTTCATGTCTCAGCCTCCTGAGTAACTGGGATTACAGGCGCATGCAACCATGCCTAGCAAATTTTTGTATTTTTAGTAGAGATAGGGTTTGGCCATGTTGCCCAGGCTGGTCTTAAACCCCTGACCTCAAGCAATCTGCTTGCCTCAGCCTCCCAAAGTGCTGGGATTATAGGCTTGAGCCACCATGCCCGGTCATTGCCATTTTTAAGAGGGTGCTCATGGAATGTCTTACTGTGAGCTGAGGGAACAACTGGGGTGAGCCATGTGGATATGTAGGGAAGGAAATTCAAGTTGGGGAAAACAGCAAATGCAAGGGCCCTGGGACAGGAACATAAGGAGGTGGTGTCGGGTCCTGTGCTGGACCCTTACTGACTTCTGGGATCACG